ACCAGCCCGGTGGAAGTAGGAAGTAGATTAGTGACACTGATAAGCAGTGACTGATGTGCCGTGCAATGACTTTTCCACAATATGGCCGACACAAGAGGGATCGCTAAAACGCTTGTGTGGGAGGGTTTTACTTTTCTAAGTAATAGCCTTCGGTGGTTACAGATGAAGGGGAAGAGCCTCTGCCCACACTATGGCGCAGACACATGCAGACGTTCAATCAATAGTAGAGTGCTATGTGGTTTGAAAGCAGCCTATAGGCGCGGTTTAAAGGAGAGGACCAAATGTACCTTTTAGATGATGTATTTATTCAGGACCTAGCAACACATTACACAGTTCAAAAAGGAGTTGGATAAAGAGAACGCTCATACTGTATGATTCCGATCACCCATGCAACACGAGACCAATAACCCAATCTCATACAGTGAGAAACACAGGAGATAATACTACACGAGACATGCAGTAATATAATACATGACACGATCACAGATGCTATAAGATGAAACAAAACACTGCACACTCAGACACACGCCCAAACACTCTCTGACCCTACACCTTGCTCCCACAACTCACTCTGTACTAAAGGCAGTTTTTTAAATGTAAATCCATGCATTGAGCTACAGTACAAACTGATTTTAAAGAACAAGTAATGTTCTTGACTTGAAGTGATTGAGACATTTTTGAAAAAGAATTATGCCATTGCTGAATTGGATTCACATCCTCCGCTCTGACCCCAGGGCATCTGTGGCCTTTGTACTTTGTACTTTGTACCGCTTTGTACTGAGAGCCGCTTTGACAACAGCTCAGCAAACACACATCCTTAACGTGGTACCGAGCACGGAGCATAGACGCGTGGACAGAACTATAGATGCGTGGACAGAACCACGCGTGGACAGAACCATGGACTCGTGGACAGAACCATGGACTCGTGGACAGCTTAGAGTGGATTTTTAAATATTTTTTTCCACACAGTTAGTGCCACTTTATTCGCAAACTCTTTGTATTGAGAAATATTAAACAAAGTTTAACGTCAAAGCCTGGATTCAAGCACTTTGAGAATGACTATAGGCTACAGAGTATATATTTAAACATTTTCTCCTGGTGGTGTGCCGCGAGATTTTTCAATGAAAAAAAGTGTGCCTTGGCTTATAAAAGGTTGAAAAACACTAATGTAGGTGATATATTCTGTAAACTGCAGGCAATTCCAGTGAATATCATAATTATGGCTTCAATTCCCATTAACTGAAAAGTAAACTGGAGCAGGGCTGAGGGGCTCTGAGGCAAACTGGAATTACTCTACAATAAACAGCGCGCGCAGACACGTGAGAGAAGGTTTCCCTAAGACTCAAACTCCCAAGGTTTGCTAATCTTTATAGATGATTCCATCAGTCAAGTCAACCTCGCTCACAGAAAAAACACACGTTCAGAAAAATTTATTCTCATACAAAAACTATAAGAAGCCTCTAAATAGTAGCAATGAGTGTGTGATAAATAATAAAATGTGTTTAAAGCTTGAGAGATAGAATGATCCCTTTGGTGTTAGCTGGCTGACTGAATGAGGACGCACCCATGGGTCCTTGGGCGAGATCCTCGTGGCCTCTCCTCTCCTCTCGATCCTATTACAGGGTGCAGGGCAGACTGTGTTGCGGCGGTGGGGGTTTTGTCAGTTTGGCATATGTGTGTCAGTGTGTGCACTGCCACTGTGCAAGAAATGAAGCGGGGAGGCGGCAATGGCACATGAATTAAAAATTGCTGCTAAAAATAAACGCAAATAAGAAGTCGACATACATTATGACTGGAGAAGACAAAATGAGCTAAAACAGAAGAGAGTATGATCTCACAGCTCGCACAAGCGCTGCTGCTATTTATACCCTTTTTACTATTGCAGCCGTACCAAACACTACGACTTCAAAGAAGCGTATAGATTGGGATTATAAGGATAGAAATGTGAAATAATGATTAATTGAATTGACAGTTATATTGTGTTACAAAATATTGCAAATGTGTAATTTGAGTTACAAGATTTGCTTAAATCTTACCAAAAAAGTATTTGAGCCTATGAGTCTGATGTGTGGCACGTGCCTGCGTGTGTGTTTGTGAATGGTTGGTGGTGGCTGGATGGGCCGATGGCACAGACTGGTAGCCTTCCTTCTGTCAGTCTGCCCCAGGACAGCTTTCGATTACAATCAGATCTTATTTCAGAATGAATGAATAAGATCATGTGTCAAAAAAGAGCTATAAACACATTATTATCAGTTGTTTCATGAGTAATCAGTTGAGTTTGAATCTTCTCTGAAACTTTGTGTTTGAACGATTAATTACAACATTTTCAACAGTCATTTCCGTCAGTTTTGACAAAAAAACAATTCACTGGATAAAACTCTATTCTCAGTCCATATCTTGCCCACAGGCTCTCACTCCAAGTATAAATTCAAGGTTACAAAGAGCATGAATAATGACCATGAGGCCCATTCAAACCACAAAGCACAGGCCCCAATAGATTACAGTAAATGGTTCTAATATTATTCCATGATGGTAAGATTATTATTAAACTAAAAACTCCAATACTAGTAATAGACCACCATCTCTAACTCAAAACCAAATATGTAACAGTGGTATCTTTTGACATGGATTTTCTGGATTGAATAAGATCAAATGATTAGAAATAATAGGCATTTTTTAAGACATGGTCCACAATATGAGTGGGCAAGACGTGGGTGAGGAGGAGCAGGGGCCGTGAGGAAGAGGAGGAGGGCGAGCAGAGTAAGTGAGTCACTGTATTCACTCTGGGGCCTTCTGCATAATCATTTCAGATCACGCGTCGTCACCGTGAGCTGAATCACCAGACGAGGCACGTGGCCACGAAGGAGACGGCGGCCAAAAAACCACTCCGCCCAAACTCCACTCCACCAATTATTTTACACTGGCACCGAAACATTCTTCCATCTCCCACTCGACCGAATCCTGACCTCACGCAACAGACTCACGGCTGTGTTCATGATAGAATGCTACGTTGAAGAAACATAGATTTTTATTTTTCACACATGCATATATTGCAATTGCACAACCATAAACACACATATTCACTACAAGTATAAGGGTTGTGAGGGGTTGGGTGAAGCAACTAGGGCTGGGAATCTCAGGGTCCCTCAAAATATGATACATAATAATAATAATACATTGGTTTTATATAGCATGTTTTTAGTCCATGTCATTTTTCTTTCACTCCATTCACCATGCTGATAAACTACTACTGTAGCCACAGCTGCCCTGGTGGAAGACTGGGCAAAGCGAGGCAACCATTATGTGCCATCAGTCCCTGTGACCACCAAAAATCATTCATGCAGACCCCAGACTCGCACCAGGTATTGTAGATGAATTTTTTTTTAAAGCCACCCCACTGTGGCAGCTGGTGTCCCCAGAGGTCTCCCATCACAGTATTAACCAGGCCCTGTTATGCATAGCTTCAGAGATCAGGCGGGATCTGGCTTTCACATTGAGGTTTCATATGACTCATAATCTGTATTTTCTACAGTTCTATTCTACTGTTTTATGAAGAAAACACAATTTTTGCTTTCTTTTTACAGAAGCACAGAAGCTAACCCTAACATCCTTTTATTAGCATTAGCCTGTTTTCGGTACCTTCTGATCAGCCCAGTTCCCAATGACTTGGATGATGGAGAATCTACTCAATCATACAATTGAAGAAAAGGAAGGAAAAATACCGTATTAAAATGGATTGCTTTCTTCCCACAGCAAAACCAAACACATACATTTGCCATATAACTGTTTATTCAGGGGTTTTTGCAGATGCTTTGAGAAAATCTTTCGACGCCGTCTTCACTAACTCTCGGACTTCCCGCTGCCTACAGTTGACAAAAACCATTCCAGGGGTCACCGTTCCCTTGTCACAAACAAAGGCTTCAAACGCTTCGAGGAATAATCTATATCCGGAATCTCCCACTGACTCCAGGGCTTTTTTCGGATTTGTCCAACAAACAACGCTCTGTGATTCTAATCTGACCGTGTACACTGATTAGCCATTTAAATCACTCCCATCCGCGGACACCACAGGCAAAAAGCATCTCCTGGTTCCCAACAAAAGAAGGTCCTACAGCAGCTGTGTTTGAGCCTCTCTCACTAGTGCCTTATCAGCCACGGCCTTCTGTCAGCTTTAGGAAACAGCAGGGGTCCCAACGCACAACAATGTACAGTAGAGAAGTGTTGACGGTCGGTTTATGCATTTATATATATATATATATATATATATATATATATATATATATATATATATATATATATATATATATATATATATATATATATATACATATACAGCCAGGGCAGTGGGATTCCAGAAAATTATACACTTTAGCAATTTCTGTCAACAAAATCCAATGTGATCCTTGGCATGCTTTTTGGTTGACTAAAAAATACCTGATGATTAATACAACCATTATAATTAAGGTAATTCTTAAAGGCTTCAACTACAAGAATATTGCTTTGATGGTTCTGTAAATTTTTGGGGTGTATCACGTTCATTTTGGAACCTCACATAAACTTGTTGAGAAGCTTATTGCTGTAGCTTATTCTCTAATGGCATGTCCTTGATTGCAAAAAATCCTGATCTCTGCAACCAACACTGCAAAAAGTGATTACAATAAGTAAAAAATGGCTCAAATTTGGCAACCATTTATCTTAATTTGCGCACTTTTCGACCGCGTTTAAAATTAGATTTACCAATGGGATAAGCAAATCATCCTAGCAATTGTCTTGTTTTAAAAAAAGATACAAGTAATGCCACCCTTGTAAAGAGAAAATAAAGCTACAGTTCTTTCAATAAGACTAAACGGCTTGTCCCATTGGTAAATCTTTTCAGAATGTACTCAAATTAAGAAAAAAATCCACTCGATTAAAGCAATAATTACCTAATATTTTATTTTAAAGTACTAATGAATTCACTGGGTGCAGATATTATGCATGAATAACAGACCAGCCTTTACCTGAAACTCAATGCCATAGTTCTCTCTGCAGAAGTCTCTCAGTTTGGGGTAGACGTGCTCCTTCAGTGCGTTCCTCTCCGCCTCAGTGTCTGGAAGCAACAAGAGAAAGAGAAAACGTCCCATTAGCTTCAGCCTAGGACACGGAACACAAGTATTTCCCCTTTACAGAGCAGCAGCCCACATTTGAGTCGGGTAATTGTGTCAATGGGTCAAAAACTGGTTGTCAAAAAAATCGTTTTGATCAAGACCAATCAGCAATCTCACCTGCAGGTCTCATTTCACACAATTGATTTTAGAATGATGAAGCACGGTTTAAATATGACAACCACCTGCTGGGGTCCAGCTAGAAACTGTATGAGCTCTGTGTTACTTATGACTGCTTATTTTGTTTTACCTGGCTCCATTTCAATGTGTGGTGCTAGTAAAAATAGAAAAGAAAAATAATCTTTTGAAAATGATTTGTACATTTTGACCTGTTATCTGGGGACACAAAGATGAAAAAACTAAAATTCTCGTAGTTGTTCTTTTAAGTTGCCATAGAAAAAAATAAATAAATAATAAATAAAAGTCCTTGTTGCAAATACAGTATTAGGAGGCCCGAAACTTGGGAAGACTTCACTGAGGTTATTTAAAAGACAAACCTACACTCAAAGAAATGATTCAGGTGGTTAGTATTTTGAACTCAAAATACATACTAAACTAAACTCAATAATTGATTTTTGCCAGTTTTACTTAAATTAGTGTGGTCGCAACTCATTTTAAACATGTCGGTCTCAATTAAAAGTTAATACAAGAATCCTAACTCATTTTTGTAACAAATTTGAACTTGATATTCGGGCATAACTGGACAACGGAGAAGTATTGAGTTTGCTCAACATGAAAATCCTCTTGTAAGCCTGGTGGCCCATTAATGAAAAAACAAATATATTGAGTTGATTCAAAATAAATATATTGAGTTGATTCAAAATAAATATATTGTGTTGCTTGAAAACAAAATGTGGCGAAGCAGTGACGCTACCCAGAATGCATTGCAGCGAAAAATATAAACTTCTTAAAAATTCTACATTTGAGCATTAATTTTAAAACTGAATATGAAGCAAGTCCTAAAGCAAAATACTTGAGCAACATTCTGAATAAACTAATTTGACCAAATAAGTAATTGTATTTATTTTTATCAACCATGATCGAGAGGGCCAAGCCAAAGCAGTCCTATACTCCCTGTGTCACCCTTCAATATTGAACAGATACGTTAAGGTGGACATGTTTACCAGTGACTGTGCTGGCCCACTCTCATATATATGTGGAGTGAGAGACTACTGCCTGAAATTAACAATTGTGAACCATTTTGTGAATCTAATCTTTGAAAGATGGTATTTGAGTAAAGATTACATATTCCTGACTGAAAATCACTTGTTGAATATACTCAAAAAGATTTATTTTCAATGTAATTATTTAAGTTGGTAGTATTGTTAAAATTAAGTTGAACTGATGCTAAAACACTTGCTGAATATACTTAACAAAGTGTCTTTATAACTCAATTATCCAAGTTGGTGGTATTGAAAAAATTGTGCTGGACCAATGATAAAAGACTTACAAAGAATACTTAAAACACAGTCTTGTTCGCAAAACTTAAAAAGATGCATGCAAAATGCTGCCTCAATTTTATTAAGTTTTGCCAATGCATTTTTTTTTAGAGTGTATATGCAAATACAACTTTTTGCTGCTCTTACTGATATTTGGGCTGATTTTCATCCGTTGTCCCACAGTTGGACTCACAAACACACACTCATTCACCCTGATCTACTGGTCATGCTTTTAGTGGCGGGGGAAACCGAAGCACCTGAAGGAAACCAACCACACAGGGAGAACATACAAACTCCACAGAGACAGGCCTGGAGGTGGAATCAAACCTGGGACCTGGTGTCAAAGTCATTCTGGTCACGGGACGAATAAAAACAAAAAGAACTGGTGAAGGGCCGAAAATTTGGGCATGGGCATTTCCTTTTCTTATATATATATATAATATATATATATATATATATATAGGGCAATAATGTTTTTTACATATATACATTGAATTTATTGCAAAAAGTTAAAATATAGATTAGGGCTGTCAAACAATATATTTTTTAAATCGAGTTAATTACAGCTTAAACATTAATTAATCGTAATTAATCGCATTTCGAACTATGGGCAAAAAGATGCCATGTTAATTGTAAATGGTTGTTTGAATGGAAAGATATGACATCATAGTGTACATATGTACTGTATTTGTTTATTATAACAATAAATGGCATTAACATTATCAACCTTTCTGTAGTAGACAGTATTTTCTCAGCTCGACATATTCCGCTTCAGCTAAAGCCTCCTCTTTCTTCTTTTTCTCTGTCTAATAAAGGCTGTGGAAAAACTAGGTACCCCAGCTTTATAGCTGCACTAACTGACTTTGAGAAATGTTCGAATGGGAACGGTGAGCTCGCTCTCTCTGCTCGCCCTCCCCGCACGGAGACTTCGCCCATCACTACCCTCAGCCTGCGCTCACATGCTAGCTAATTGTATACGGAGCTCACGTCTCACAATATGATTGCACATTCGCACATGGATGGCGTGACCATAGAATGATAGAAACTTTCTTTTGGATGGCTGTTTCGCTGTGTAAGCAGTAACCGGTAACAAAGACACGGGAAGTTTCAGGTTAGCCTCCGCCGTTTGTTTACCTCAGCTCTCTGTGCTAACGAGAGACCTGTGGCTTTTCTCAAGAAAGTGGGGGCCAATGGTCCGCTGTGATTGGTCACAATCGGGACCCGAAACTCATTCTCTTCCTTGTTTCACAAAAACTCGATCTAAAATTAAATGACACGCCAGCACAAATCTGCGCTATTTTTTCTTCAAAAGGACGTATATCCCAATGCAATGCATGGATATGGATTGAATTTTCATAATGAATACAAAAATAAAGTCAGTTAGTGCAGCTTTAATTCACCGAGTGTAAGTTGCGACGCGGGAGGAGACACGGACACTTCCTGAGGCTCCATAGTGCAGCTTCGGCGCTGTATTTATTGTGCGTATGGTCTTGGATATGATCACGTTACAGCGGCGCTGTTCGCCTTGTTGTTGTTAGCGGCTCACAGCAGCTGGAGGTAGGAACCGCTGCTGCCCGGGTCACATGCGTATTCTTTATAAACTTGAAATCCCAGAGGGCTACCTGCGCTGTCGCCATCACACGCATGTGTCCGCGGCATTCCGAGTGATATTATGGGATCCATGGGCAGGTCATTCAGTACAAGCATTAAATGCGTTAATTTATTTAACGCGATTAAGGAAATTATTAATTATTAATTAACGTGATAATTTGGACAGCCCTAGTATTTATCTAATCACAGTTTTCTTTTTACTTTTTCAATCATTCAGGCTAAAGATGTGGAATCAAGTGGAACAAATCATGATCCACTGGCAGATAATTTAGCTTGAAACATACTACTACAACTACTACTTTTTCTTTTTTTTTTGGAGCCACTTTTTCCAGTAATTAAAATTTTGTTCAGTAGCGTTTGAAAAATATAAAACTGCTCTTTCTTCCCCGTTTTTTTTTTCAGTGGTCAGCAGCTTCTTGACTTCTGGTGGGAAATTGGTGTGAAGTAGAGTGAAGCGGACTGTCAGAGTGTGTGCCACTAATGAGACCGGGGCTGCTCTCCTCTGGGCCACAGCGAGCACTTAACAGAGAACTGAACCCTCATCTTATCATGGCAGACGTTAAATAATGTAGCAGATATTAAATAATGTAATGTATTCAATAGCGGCCAAAGAATACAAACACAAAAACATTCAACAAGCACCAGAGACCAGTGGGAAGACGCTGATCAGATCTCACCATGGGAAAGACGCTGCCCTGATGTCAAAAACAAAACAAAAAACTTTTCAGATTCATAACTTTCCTGTATAAATCTGTTAACTGCTCGACTCAGCGACGATGTTATTATGTGATACCTGGGATATTTCACAAAACACTGCAAAAAAATGATAAAAGATGAGACAATAATTGCTTGAATCGAGTGTTTTTTTAATCTAATTTGAGTATGTTCTGACTGCCATTTAGACTTATTTGAAGAATATTTGCTTCATTTTCTCATTCCAAGGGAGACATTTCTTTTATCTTTTTAAACCAGGATCATTTTGCTTGTCTCATTGGCAAATCTTGTTTTAAGGCAGTCAAAATGCAGCGTTAGTGTAGGCAGGAGAGCACAATATCGATCATATTTGAGATGTCGGAATCTGTGCAACACTTTTATGACGTTTGGCGACATTAGTAAACATATTTATTCAAAATGGTAATAATAGGGAGCCATAAAGTCAAGATTTTACTTTTTTGCCTCATTCCTCAGCTCTAAAATAATGTAATGCGGCAAAAGCAGAAAATGAGACTGAGAGACATGGTTCTCAGTGTTCGCTCTCACCTGCTTACACACCGGCTACTACACACTCATCACCATCTGCACAGTCAAACACCTGTGCTCATCAGCATCACTTCACAGCTGCACTTAAAGGTCCTATAATACACTTTTCTTCATGTTTCAGAGTCAATCCTATGCACATGTGTGATAATAATGTGAGTGATACACCATACAACACTCAAAACGTGTGAGATTATAGCCATATCTTGTATAGAAGTGACGTCACCTGGACCCAAACAGGCTGATCCAGAGAGAAGTCTGCTCCTCTGTCTGTGAGCCCGCCTCCCCCCGCCCGCCCAGTGACGTCGTTTATTACCGGTACTTAGTCATTTCAGACATAAGAATAAACTTTTTCCATGAATGACAATCTGTCACATCGAGGACATAGGGCTCGATTACAATTAGATATTGTATCTAATTGCACAATATGCACAATTAGACCCTAATTATTTAGTTTACAGAAGTATACGGCGAGTTAGCATCATTGTACTCACAGATCGGGGGGGGTCCGTGTTACGTCTTTTATCGTGGGAATAACACATGTTTCCAGATCAGCTTTTCAGTAAGTCCAGTTACATTTTCCCTGTAGTTCTGGAACAGTCTCAGTGAAGTGTCGCAGATGAACCGTTATTATAATA